TTGCTTGTTCACACTAGTTGGGACCACTCTTTCCCCAGTGAAGCCATCGCAGTCCTTCATGACATCCCAGCTGGAAGCCAACAACATGGATGAGCTCAAGGAGGTGGCCAAGCGGCTCAGCCGAGACCAGCGCTTCCGGGAGTCCATCTACCACATAATGGCCACCCAGCCCGGAGCCCCTGCCGCACTTCCCCGGGGTGGAAAGTGAGGGGCACTCCTCCTTGGCTTCCCGAGTTGTTCCCCCTGTGGTTGGGGATTGAAAAAGGGGGGCTGGCCTGACCTGCCTGGCTCCCCTCAGCTGTCTGGGGGCTGTCTTTCCTCCAGGCCAGGGCTCCCCTGGGGGCCAGCGTCGCCTCACTCCCATGCTGGACCCTACAATACATAGGTCTATACCTAGTTCATGCAGAACAGAATGTGGATACCTGGTCACCTGGAGAGGAGGGGGTGCCTGGTCCTATGTGGAGATGCTTTGGGGTGAGGTAGGATGGGGAACTTGGAGTGCCCATGTACCTGTGTGTGGACAGGCAGGACCCCCACTCTGGGAGAATTTCTGTCTACTATACCCCTCTGTGCTCCTCTGTGACTCTGCTGGCCTGTTGCTGGTCTTCATATATAAAAGGCCTTACCTCCACCAACTTGATCCACTTCCTTTGCCCCCGGGTCTCCTAACGCCTTCTTTGTTTCTGATACACTCCTTCCCCATCTCAGAGTCAAGGGGAAAGGGAGCTGGGGCGTCGCATCCAGACTCACAGTACCTGTGGCATCTCCTTTGCTGAGGTTTGGGGACCACCTCCTGATGTCCCTGCCTCACAAGTTAACTTGGTCACATGCAGCCTCTGTACCCCAGGAGGGTGGTGTGACCCCACTGTGTCTCCTTCATATGCTTCCATCCCTTAGCCCCTGGGGCTAGCAGAGACAAAAGCTCCCCACCCCAGGGTGCCTACCTAGCTCTGAGCAGAGGGAGGTGGTGCTGACGTCCAGTCAGGCTGAGAGGCCTTCACCACCACTGGCCCTGCTGGTCTGTGTGGTCACATGTCTCCCTCACAGCTGCTCCTGCTTTGGTTGTCCCTGTAGAGGCTTCACCAGTGGAATAGTGTGACCATGGATCCTGTCAGACAGGGCGCCTGAGTTGGTAACAACCAAGCCCGCTGGTCATCTCAGAGCCATTTGGGGTGAGGCTGAAATTCCCATCTGCAGCTTTTGTGGAAGATTGCCACACCCAGGAGACCTCAAGGCCAGGAGAGATGCTCTTCACCCACAGATAGAAAAGTCTGCCCTGTACTCCTTCCTCCAGCCCTATTGTTTGAAGCTGCTATGTCTCCCCTTCTTTCTGGGAAAAGCATCTCTCGATGACCAGGGTGCTCAGGGACTCTAACTGTACCCAAGGTGCTCTTCTCTGGTGCCTGAGCACTGAGGGAGGGGTTGGGTCTGAGAGGTGGACAGATGGCTGCAAGGAAACTGGCAGAAGGTCCCTGCCTCTGGGCCTTTGCAGCCTATTCTGTTGGGAAAGAAGCATCCTGGCCGGGAAGGACGCACTTATATCTGTTGCTGGGCTGGCCAAGGCCAGGCTGCCCTGCCCTGTACTCAGTCCTGACCCACCTCTGTGGTCCTTCTCAGGGCAACGAGCCTCTGCAGATTCTAGGCAGGGACAGGGTGGGCTGGGTGGGATGAGAGAACAATACACCTGAAGGGACTGCTTAGGTGTAAATGTCACAGCTTTAAACATGTATATGCCTGCACAACCCTAGAGTTAACTTATCAGTTATGTGCATATGGTGGCTCTTAAAAGAACAGAAGATTTATAAAGTCAAGATAACTTTATTTATTGTCCTGTTTTTAAAGAATTAAATTAACTGCTTGCTCTTGGGGAAGATCTTTGGAAACTTTACAATTGCATCCTCCCTCCCACCCCACCCCCAAGTGTTAACCACAAAGGAAAATGCTTTTCCGTGCGCATTTGTCTCTAGTTCCTTTCCTGTTCTCACCCTGTGCTTTCTGTGCTACAGGCGAGTCTGGGTGCTCTGTAACCAGCTGGTCAGTTCCCAAGTACTTATTTGTTAAAAGCTAACGATGTACCTATACCATTGTAAATAGAAAAAGAATACTATCTTTATGTGAATATATGTAGAGGTGAAAGCTGCTTACTCAGATATATTGATTTTTTTTAAAAAAATAAAAACCTTTATTTCTTGGCCAATTAGATATAGTATTTCCTGCAGTAGCTCTTCAATATGTGGTATTAAGCTTTGCTAGGGAGATGTTCATCCGGGAGGCTGGGCTCTATGAAGAGAAATGTGGCATCAGGATTGGAGGAAGATTCATCAACAATCTATGCTATGCAGATGACACAACTCTGCTTGCTGCAGAAGGTCAAGGACTGCAGCCTTCAATATGGATTGAAGTTCAGCATCAAGAAAACAAAGATTCTCACCACTGGGCCAATTGGCAGCATCAGTATAGATGGTGAAGAGATTGAGATAGTTAACAGTTTTAGTTTACTTGGCTCCACCGTCAATACTCTTGGTACCAACAGCCAGGAAATCAAGAGACAAATTGCATTGGGAAAGTCAGCTGTCAGGGACCTCTCCAGAGTACTGAAGAGCAACGACGTCAGGCTGGGGACTAAGATGCACCTGATCCGGACTATAGTCTGCAATTATGTGCTATGCCTCGGAGAGCTGGACATTGACTAGGAATGATAGAGAACTGGTACGTTTCAGCTGTGGTTCTGGAGAAGAGTGTTGAATGTACCATTGACTGCTAGGAGAACAAACAGGTTTATCATGGAGAAGGTGAAGCTGGAATGCTCCTTGGAGTCAAGGATTCTGAAGCTTCATCTGACATACTTTGGGCGTGTTGCAAGGAGAGACCAGTCCTTGGAGAGGGACATCATGTTTGGGAGGGTGGAGGGACAGTGCGGGAAAGGAAGACCCTTGATGAGATGGATGGATTCAGTGATTGGGATAGTGGGAAGAGGTGTGTTGGAGGCAATGAGGTTGGCACAGGATAAAGCAGATTTAGGGCTCTTGTACATAGGGTCACTATGAGTCGCAAGCAACTCCACGACACATAACTGTAACAGGGCGAGGTTGCCCCCTGCAGGTCAAATATGGAATTTAACATCGCCTGCTTGTTCTTTATCACACAGACATACCCCTCCGCCCAACTCCACCCACCCCCATTTTCTCATATGAGGAAGGACACCCCCTGGTGCACCTCCTGTGAATGCCTTTTTAATAATTAATTGAAAAATCTGTGTTCCCACCCTGAGGTCAAGGCTGTCCCCATGTAACAAGAACTCTCAGCTGGATCTTTTTCTTATTTGAGCTCAGACCAGTGGGACAGACTCTACAATGGGACGTGTGTCAGGGAGACAAAACATACTATTCTTATGACCTCCTAGTTTCAGTATCACCACCGGAAGTTGACAGTCTGACCTGCTCTGATGGGTGGGTTTTTTCTTTTTTAATCAGATAAAAGGAGAGTCAGAAAATAGTGAGAAACAGTAACGGTTGCATTCTCTTCCTTTCTGGTTTGCTGCCGACCTGTCATCATTAGGTTTACCTGGACTCTCCTGGGTCAGTTGTCCTGGTGTAATTATTAATGGTTCTCTCTTTCTAGCGCTCCAGTTTGGCTGACAATTCTGTGGTCATGCAGGTTGTCGTGCCTTTTCCCAGTGAGCTGTTCATATCTAAAACACTTGGATTTCACCCTCTTTCCCAGCCCTCAGGTCCTGGGAAGGATCCACAGCCTCTTTTTTTCTTTTATCTCTGTTGTTGAATAGACACCAATCCATATCTGACCCTCCAATGGGTTTTTAGACTCAATAAAACTCACAGGAGGAGACAGTTGTTCTGTACAGCAGTTGCTGGATTTGAACTGTGGACCTTTGCTTTGGCAGCACATTTCCTTACCACTAAGGCACGACTAAGCCAGATTTCCCTTTTTTTCATCTCTGGAGAGATGGAATTCTTGCCCTATCCCATCAAACTTAGCCTGATCCTGGCATGTTCAGAGCCTGCCATGCCGGCAAATAGTGGCAGAGAGACTTGCTCAGGTCTCAGGGAGCCAGTCCAGGTGGTAATGAGTTTGGTATCACTGGGAGGTTGTTATTAAACCCATCAGACAGTGCAGCTGATCTGGAGCCTTCAGATAAAAGCCACCACCTCCCGAGGAGCTGTGTGCATTTCCTGCATGTGCCAGGATGAAGTTGTTTATTTCTGGGTTCCTGTGGGAGCGCCTCAATATCAGAAGTCCTGTGGCTCTGAGTCCTGGGGGAAATGCTACTGCCTTATCTCTCCCCTCCCCACTGAACAGGCATTGAGGAGTGTTCTGTGCAAGGCATTGGGAGAGGACACAGGAATTGTTCTTGTCTCTTGAAAGGAGAGCTCCACTCCCACACATACAAAGCACCTGGGAGATATGGGTTATTCAAATTTCCAGTTGGGTGCGTGAGTGTGGACAGGTGTGGTGTTCACATTCAGGCGCCATGCTCTGGATTCTGCACATCTCACTTCCTCTGCTCTGCCTTGGACTGAACTTCTGTTTGTGGCTGTCAACTCCCTTGACCCAGACACAAATCTCACTGCTCCATCCTGCTGTGTAAAGACACTCAATCCAAGCCCAGGAATCCACATAAACTGTCCTCTTGGAGCGACTCACCAACCGTCACTAAATTTTAAATACAGTCTAGCTTTCTCTGTACACTTCAACTTTGCCTGTGGGTGGGACTTGGTGATCACATAGAGAAGTTAGGGTGACTCGAGGCTGCTCAAAGATGGAAAGCTTAAAACTGGGAGCTCCAAGGGAAGTTGGCAGAGCCAGCTGGCAGTGCATTTGGGGCTAAGGCCCTCTTTGCTTCTCCCAGAGGCTCTGACATCCAATCCCTGGACTGAGGGTCCTGCTATGAAGAGATTCAGTCAGTACCTGTTGTCTTGGCAAAACCTGCTGACAGGTCTTGGATCATCATGGATTATAAGACTCTTTTCCCTTGAGGAGTAGTGAATAATGAAAAGGTGCCCACAAAAGAATTTGCCACGCTCTGCTGCTTTAGAGGGTCAGGGAAAGTTTTGGCGGTAAGGGTAAGATTCTTATTTGCCCCTCATTAGCTTGTGGCTTTTGCCAAGTCACTAGTTAAAATGCTTTAACTATTGGTGTATTTTTATTGAACAGAAAAGATGCCTCTTAAATCCCACAAGGCTGTTCCTCTTCCTGGAAGAGGCAGACCCCTTTATC